ATAAACAGGTTACTGTCTGATTTAATTATTCAATGTCAAAAACATGCACATTTGTAGGATTACCTCCGTTTTCTGACTTCTGAGAGATATCAGGGATCTTCCACAATATCCTTTGCTGTTCAGCATTCCTAAAAACACATGAAGAAGAGAATTTGTTCAGCCTGGAGAAGAAAAGGCTCCTGAAGGGGACACCTTAGAGCAGCTCCAGTGCCTAAAGGGGCTCCAGGAAACCCGGAGAGGGGCTTTGGCAAGGGCCTGTAGGGACAGGACAAGGGGAATGGCTTTAACCTGCCAGAGGGGAGATTGAGATGAGCTCTTGGGCAGAAGCTCTTCCCTGTGAGGGTGCTGAGGCGCTGGCACAGGGTGCCCAGAGAAGCTGTGGCTGCCCCATCCCTGGCAGTGTTCGAGGTCAGGTTGGACACAGGGGCTTGGAGCAACCTGCTCTAGTGGAAGGTGTCCCTGCCCGTGGCAGGGGTTGGAGCTGGAGGAGCTTTAAGCTCCCTTCCAACCCAAACCAGTCTGAGATTCTTGAACACTGCCAGTGATGGGGCAGCCACAGCTTCTCTGGGTGTTCAGCTCTGACCCTTTATTCGTGGGAATGGCAAGAAAATAGCATCAAAGTGGGGTTACTTGCATCCTGTGCAAGAGGATGACAGGTTTGGGTCCCCAGCATTCCCCCACCCGCAATCACCTCCCAAGGTGATCCCACCCCTGCAGCCAGGACGGCTGTTTCAGGCAGGGACAGCAAGCAAGCTCTTCCACAGGGGAGCACTTCCTACCAGACAGCAGGAGGAAGCACAGCTTGAAGTTTGGTTACTCCTCCGTCGACAGGGACAAGGAACTGGACGTTGTTTAGAGCTACCGGTGTGGTCATTGCCTCTGTATTGTATTTGTAGTCGATGCGGAGGTCAGTGCTTGCAGGGTCACACCGCCAGCTCACTGCAAGGTTTAATGGAGTAGACTGAATACCCTGGGCAGATACCTTCCAAAATGACAGAAAAAACATTTAGTTTCCATAGGGGTGAAGGGAGAAAGCCCATTTTACAGACGCAGTAATTGCATTTGGTTTCAGAGGAGACAACACCTTGTATTCTCATAGAAAAGTTTGAACTGGGCTCAAAACAGGCAATCTAGTGACATGCAGAAGGGATACATGCCCCCTCCTCGCGTTATCTCCTCTCTGCACGAGGGAAATACCGTCTTTAACATCTATAAGTTAAGCACACATTTTTGGCGTGGTTTTATCTTACAGTAAAACTCCTACCTGGTATTTGAGCATATCCACATTGTAATAGGTGGCTTGTGGTTTCTGTTCCGATACCTTCTTTAGGTGAGTCATCAGATTTGGCATATTGACCCAGAACTCCTTTGTGTTGGTGTCACTCTGGATGTTGTCACTGCACGGGGGAGAATAAGCACTTTGCATAAGCCACCTTGGCAGAAGAAAGCTTTTCTACCAAGCATGCAGGACAGCAGCACTGGCCACCAGCTGGGACCATACTTAACCCCGCATTTAGGGAAATAATCCCTCCCTTGTGCACGTCTGGCTTGTTCTCAGGCACATCCAGGGAGGAACAGCAGATGCAAACTTTAGGTCATCTCATTTTGCAAACACAAGGTCTAATGAGCAGAGTGAGGCACAAAAGAAGCAAACCCCATCAAAGAACTTGTTCCCCTTTGCTGATGCTCCTTTGCCTGCCAAATGGGCTGATCTCAGAGGGGGTATTCCAGCAAATAAGAAGCTCAGGAAGTTTGACATGGCCAAGTGCAAGGTCCTACCCCTGGGTCGGGGCAAACCCCAGCACAAACTGAGGCTGGGGGAGACTGGATGGAGCATCCCTGAGGAGAAGGACTTCAGGGTGTTGGGTGAGAAGCTCCCCATGACCCAGTTTCAGTGTGTGCTTGAGCCCAGAACCCCCCGTGTGCTGGGTGCACCCCCAGAGCGTGAGCAGCAGCTCAGGGAGGGGATCCTGCCCCTCTGCTGCTTCCCCAAACCAGGGCAGGCTTCCAAGGAAGATACTCCGGGCCATGTGTTTTTACAAAGCACCCTACTTTTCTGGAAGGCCGCCCTCCTTTGGGATGCTGGTGGAGTGGGTGCTTACCAGCAGAGGAGCTGGGGGTTTGGCAGGACGTGCTCCAGCCTGTTGTAGTTCAGCACACGGAAGGTGAGCACCGCTGGAGCGGGGTTGTTGGCAAAGTGTCGGGTGATGCCCGCGGGAAACGACAGCACCATCTCCCCCGTGATCTTCACAATACACCTGCAGTGCCAAACACAGAGACCAAGGGGGGAGGAAATGAGGGGCTCAAAATGCAGCAGGAGGGGAGGGTGCAGTGACAGCCCCCCACTTTGCTCCCACCACACGGGGGGAACAACCTCCTGTGGTCCTAAACCTGAGCAAGCTTTAACAGCGGAAAGGCTGGCAGCCTCCTGGGGATGGGGACTGATGCTTGTGGGAATGCCCCATGAGCATCCTGAGCCTGGACCTCTGCTTGGTGCACTGACATTCCGAGACCAAACCACCTCCTTTCCTTCCTCCCCATACTCACCCAAGCCTCAACAGCACCCTAAGCCTGTCCTGACCCCAGCACCCCCTATATCAACACCCAGATCCCATCGGTCGGCACCTACTTGCTCGGGTCAGCCCCTTTGAAGTACGCGTTGACAGTTTCCGTGAAGGCAGCAGCAACGGGCAGGGTGTCCTGTGCCCCCATGGTCAGGGGGCTGGGGCCCCGTGACGAGCCTGCAACAGAGCAGAAACCTCCGCTTTTTACCTGCAGAGAGAACCCATCCTGCTTCCCCCAGCACCGGGGCGAAGGGGTGCTCCCCATGAGCCCCAGCCTAGCTTTATGGGCAAATAAAAGCAACAAGTCCCCCAGGCTTTGGATGAGGCTTTAAAAATGTTCTGAAATGACCGTTCCACCTCCCAACCTGCACAAGCAAGCAAAGAAATAACAGCGGCGCCCAGGCAGGAGCAGCATGCAGGGCAGCAACCCCCGGCACGGCTCTCAGGGGGTGCCACACAACAGGCTTTGCATGACAGTTTTTGCAGTAGGTTTCTGGGTTCCAGCAAGAGGGATTGCGGAGGTTCCTTGTGCCTTGGCTGGAGACCTCAGGCTGCCTGTGGGAAAGTGGGATGTCGGCAGGTTTCCTGCCCTGCTTCTGCCTACAGGAACCCCAACCATGGGGAGACACTGCAGTTCCTGGCGTGCTCCCCTCTCCTGCCTGGCAAGACCCTTGCTCACCCCACCAAGCCCATGGCACACTGCAACGCATCTGCAAATCATCATAAGTCTGGAATTACAAAGGAGAACGTGAGATTCTGGGTGCAAAAGCCAGAGCAGTCAATCCACAGTAATGATAGAAGGGGAAAAGTTTGCTTTGGTCATGCTCCATACCCATGGATGCTAGCCAGGCTCTAAATAATTCATCCCTGCATGATCACTCACAGGTTTCCCTTTGCTGGCCAGGAATGCTGGTCACCAAACAACATCTGAGGATGAAAGCATGGCTGCAAACAGATGCCAGAAGACCTGGGCATGGTGGGGACCCTGCATGGGGAGCAATGTCCTGCTCCCTGTGCCCACCACCAAGAGGAGAGCAAGGGGGGGCTGTTGGCACCGCAAAGCTTTCACCTTTTCCCCAAGGAAAGTGCTGGAAGGTCAGCTTGGGGTTAGTGTCTGGTCACCCACACAATATGGAAGGTGCTGATCCCCTGAGCACCCGAAAAAGTCCTCAGGAGGTCACCAGCCCTGTGCTAGCACCACCAGTTCAGCCTATCTATTTTCCTGCAGCATACCATTTTGGAACCTTTCCTTTATATCACAGTCTATGTACCAGGTTAAGCACAAGGATTATTTTGCCCCAAGCCAGCTAAAAAGGAATGGCCAAAGTCTCCAGAGGGGCAACTTCCCAAGGACCCCAACACCCCCTTTACTCTGTTACCTTCATTTACCATCATACCCCTCACTCTGTTACCCTGATTCAGGGTCTGAATCTGGCAGTTGAAAGGGGCTATTAAGTGAGCCCAGGGTTTTGTTTAGAGCATGCAAGTGTGTGCCAGCTTCAGCCCTACCCACACAACATTAAATGCCTGGAGAAGGGCAGCACCTCTGCAGGCAGTGGGGTGAGGGACAAGCAAAGCAACCGCGTGTTTATGGTGAGCTCCTGCTCAGCCTACCCTCAAAAATAATCCCCTCCCCTCTTGATCTGCTGCTTCCCACCACTGCCCTGTTGTTTGTTGCTTTTTTGTTCACATCTAAGCAACCTGCCGTGGGTTTTGTGTGATGTACAGTGAGGTCCTGGCTCACTGCTGCCTGTTTTGTGTGAGTAAATAATAGGGTTTGGCTGCAGGAAATCAGGATTCGCAACGTTTCCCAAGGAAAGTGCTTCTGTCACTTAAATTACACTTTGAGTTTGATATATTAATTGTGAAAGAACATGGCATTCATAGGATTCCTCCTGCCTTACAAATCCATCTGTGCAGGCAGTGAGTTAATGTATAAAACCACAGTTACTCTCTCACAGAGGCACACATGAGCCTCTCCAGTGCTGGGATTTTCCCTTCCAGTGTCTAATGGAGCCTAAAAGGGTGTAAAACATTCATGTAGCCACACATCTCCTCTTGGACATACATTTTAAAAGACTCAGGGGAGTGATTTCAGCCACTGGAATAGTGATGCTCAGTAAGGGCAGCGCATCCGGCTGTCCCAGCGCGCGGCACGGGCAGGCTGAGCATGTCACACACACAGGACAGACCCATCACCACACACCCATTAATTATCCTAATGACTCCTGGGAGGCAGCCCGAGCTCCCCAAGCCTTCTGCTTCTGAGGCCCCAGCCCGGAGCTACGCATCCATTGGGAACACGGCCAACATCCCGTTAAAGTGCTGACACTTCCCATCAGTGCCAGCCACGCAAAGGCAACATGTTTTGTACAAACTCTTTCCATAACACAACTAACGGGTTACCAGAGAGCACATCCTCCTCCACACACACTGCAACCACCCCACAGCACGTAGAATCCAGCTGAAAACAGTGGGATATTCTCATCACATCCACCCAGAAATACAGATGAGATTCAAAACCATCAGTGCAGACTGGCTACAGAGGGGAGAAACCTGAGGTACCCAGCAGAGGAAGTCAGGTTGATCTCAGCAGGGAATGTGGGAGGAAGGTCTTTAGCCATCCAGCAGCAGCAAACCCTGTGATCCTTGGCAATACGATCATTGTTACCTGGGAGAGGAAAAAAAGCACCTCCCAAACATACACACTCTGACTGCAGCCAGGTTTAATCTAGACCCTGCACTAGGGCATCTCTCATACCAACTTGCCCTTCCCCTCATTTTCAATCTCATTTCTTCCACCATTTCTCTGCATGTACATGAGATTTCTCCATTCTCCAGAATGGAAAATCCTACATCCAAGAATAAACCAGCTCATCTCACGTATCTCTATCACCAGGCTCAGCTGGCCTTTGAAAATCTGAGTCCATGTGAACAGCAACCAAACATCCTCCACATTTCTAATCTGGCTTTGCATAAAGATCATGTGGATGTAACTGGCATTCCCAGCTCTCAGTTCCCTCCACGCTTCCTTCATGAACCTCATATTCTTCTCTTAACGGCTTTGGAGACTAAACAACTCTTTCAATTAAAACTTTAATGTGAAAAGAAAAGTATAATCTATTTTAAGCCCAAGAATTCTTTTCCAGAAACTTGAGAGACAAGTCTAGTTACTCTGGAACGCCTCCACCAAAAATCTGGCTTTTCAGTGACTGCTTCAGAAGTCATTTTTAGAAACTTCTTGTTTTGGCAAAATGACCTGAGAATCCTGGAGGGGAAAAAACCCACTTTATGAAGCTTTGGATCCAGCCATATGCAGCTCACCAGGTTCGTTTGCCTTACCTTCCTCACACAAAGGTGGAAAACAAAGACATGGAGCAAGGACAGCTGAATACTAGTGATCCTGGTACACAGCTCTGCCCATGTAGCCAGGAGAGCATCACCAAACTGCACTGTGTCTCTTCACGCATGAACACACTACCCCACGTTCTGCAAATACATGGATCCTAGCACAGAAAACTCCAAACCCAGAAACTAAAGATACGATGTCAAAAAGACCTGCTTAAGCGAGTCCAGAGGAGGCCCCGGAGCTGCTGCAAGGGCTGGAGCAGCTCTGCTCTGGAGCCAGGCTGAGAGAGCTGGGCTGGGGCAGCTGGAGAAGAGAAGGCTCCTGAAGGGGACACCTTAGAGCAGCTCCAGTGCCTAAAGGGGCTCCAGGAGACCTGGAGAGGGGCTTTGGACAAGGGATGTAGGGACAGGACAAGGGGAATGGCTTGAACCTGCCAGAGGGGAGACTGAGATGAGATCTGAGGCAGAAGCTCTTCCCTGTGAGGGTGCTGAGGCGCTGGCACAGGGTGCCCAGAGAAGCTTTGGCTGCCCCATCCCTGGCAGTGTTCAAGGCCAGGTTGGACACAGGGGCTTGGAGCAACCTGGTTCACAACTGGCCAGCATTCCCTGGACAAACCAATCTCCCCGCTCCAGACCATCCACACTGCCAGAACAAAGGATAAGAATTCCAGTATACCATTTAAAGACATCAGTACACAAAACCATAAAAAAGCCCCAAATAGTAAATGTTCTCGCAGTGCTGGTGCTAGATCGAGTGAGGAGGAGAAGAAAACAGAGGAAATACAATGCCAGGATATACATACTGAGGGATAACACTCCAAGGCAGCTGCTTTGACCCAGCCATCAGCCATCAGCCATTCCTCCATGCCCCCTCCCAAGTCTAAGCCAGGAGCTGATATTGGAATGAGGAACATCAAGTGGGGACATTGGGGCCTGGCCCCTGTGGACAATGAAAAGGCAAGAAGGAGGGAAAGAAGAAACCACTCCCCCAGTTACCACCACCTCCGTCCCTGCCTTCTGCTACTGCTACTGCTTCATGCTCACCAGAACAGGGGTTGCTCCATAAACACAAGCAGCCTGTGCTCGGCAGCCAGGCAGTGCAATCCCGAATCCCAGCCACTTGGCTGTTTGCTGGAGGGGTCACAATTTACGGATCACGTATGGGATCCATCCTCTGGTATGTCCCGTGCCAGCAGCATCCCCAGTCAGCCCCAGCACAGCTCTGCCTGCAAGCACCGCAGCAGCTCCAAAGCTGGTTTTAAAGCAC